AATCACATGCGGAAATATAGCAGGATAAAATCATAAGCATTTAAAGGAAAGATGCAGTTGTGCAGTTTAAATTTAACCTGTTTCATGCCTCATCTGCAGACATCAAATCTAACTTATGAGCAAACATATAGGCAAGGTATAGGACATCCAACCAAAACATGAGATGCCTAAGTGGACCAAATTGAACTATAAGAAGTAAATTGATTTAAAGCCGATAATCTTTGTTGCTTTCGTGTTTTTGATGAATTAGCGTTTACCATTGTGTCCTGCTCTGAAGATGTCCGTCAAATGACGGACGAAAGCTCATCAAGGAATCATCGAAGTCGCAGGGCGGTGCGCCGAGTACCTAGTCGCACAAATCTACAACCACAGCTCTAAGGCAATCCCTCACAACCTCCGGTAGGAGCAATATACGAATCCCTTTCACTCGCCTCTTCGAGCAAAATTAAAAATACTTCAACATTAAGTGAACGCTAGTTTTCACAAAGAACTTTTCGTGAATGTTTGAGGTTGATGACTCATTTTCCAGACATAGATATAACCAGGGGCGAGTCCCCAAATCGCCTTTGACAAAGATATTAATAGTTAAAGCATAAAAATTTGAATAAAAATCACTCGGCGGATGAAAAGCGATCTTATTTAAGTTTAGCAGACTGAATTCTACATAAGTTAGCTAATGTCTCCTAAACAGATTTTGCTAGATTATTAATGGCTAAATTACCGTGCGGTGGACAAATGTTTCTTGAGATTAGTGATAGCAAATACTAGCAAGATAAGAGAGAACAGCTCATGGGAGAGAAAATATTTGTGGTTAAAAGAAATAATCTAACATCTTGTGTGAACAGTCTATAAAATAGCTTGTCGATTTTTTCAAAATACAATTTTAAAAATCCAATGACAAGGTGGAATAAGATATGGATGAAGGAAAGTTGAAAAATGCTAGAAAACAAATATGAATCAAGAAAAAAATGTAAAGTAAAAGATTGAGGAGGGCTATTTTGGGATTAGGAGTAAAAAATGGCTGTGAAGAGGAAAGAAGTTTGAAGAAATTTTAATATGGATAAGCACCTCTGGGCTTGTACAAAAAGGAGTTGCCTGATCACAGTTAATAGAGATAAATACGCAGTTAATACCGAAAGAGACAACATTTAATTAATAAGGGAAAAAGCAAGCCGTGAACACCTACCAACGTTAGCAAACCCCTTGGTAGGGGCCAGACTGAGGGTCGCATTGGGCGATAGGTCAGGCAAAAGAGCCGATTCATGAGCAGATTGATTTTCTACATGTAATACCATTGATGGTGGCGTCATTTGCTGTTGCCTAAGACTAGGCTCGATCAATTGTCCAGTCTGTTGGTGACCCAATGACTGAGACGGACAAATAGTTGAAAGCGATGCCCCGGCTACTAGCGATGTAGCAGCGATAGTAAAGCCAGTTGCGTTGCTGGCGGGAACGGGTCGAGGTGGTAGTGACTGTTGGCGACCTGAAACGCCCGAGGGGGGAGGCGTAACAAGGCGGGAATTTGGTGGTGCAGATACAGTGGTAAATGGGTAACGAGGAGGCGCCGAAGGTAAGTAAGAGCACAGGCCCGGAGAACAGGCCTCGGATGGAAGTAGGCCAGGCAAACAGGTAGTTGAAGTGCAAGTGGTAGGATTATAAGTGAATGCAGAAGTAGTTTGTGTAGAGATGGGTGGGAAGGCGAAAGAGGATGTCGAAGTAGCAGAGGACATCGAAGTTGAAGATGAAGATAAGCTAAGTGTGGATGTGTGGTATGAACGGGGCTGGTGTTGTTCACGATCAAGATGGTGACGACGGTGATGATGGTTGTTGTGACCCTGTGCTAGTGCAGAGCTGGAGGGTAGGCTACGAGAATGGTGACTCAGATTGTCACTAGATTGAGAGGTGCCACATGTCGTGGATAGGCAGCGAGACCCACTTATTAAAAGGGCCATGTCGTGGCCTATCTCAACTAAAGTAAAGAGGAATAGCACATTTCAGGGAAAGATGGTGGAAATGGTACAATAAACAGAGGAAATAGCATACAATGTGGAGATATATTTAAATTAAAATCGTAAATTTACTTCAGCTTGCTTTACTACATTAGCAACAGAAAAGCCAAGAGAGATATACATTTGCAGAGTCAATTTTTAGCAAAGGACTCAAATGGTAGCATAGTTATAAAAACGGAAGTTTTAACAATTGAAGGGAAGGATAATTGTTAATTTAAAAACTCTAATGATCCGATCTGATGCCAGGAAAGAATTGAAGCAAATCCTTAAATATGCATACCCTATAGCCCAAAGTGATGTAGAAATGGACAAAATATAGAGGCTGTCGAAAAGCAGATGCGATGTGTCGATAAGCACTCGTTTTGAGCTGTCGATGCTAAATAGAAGTACTATTCTAGGGAATACTTCATCTTATGATGAAATTATAATAGAATAAGTTATTCGCCGTTTACATGAAAATCTTATAAAGCAAAATCAAGTAAAAAATGAACTTTTTTATTGGAGTTTTAAAAGAATGTATAGTGGATATGGTCATAGCAGTTAGTTTATTGTTAAGCACTTTTAGGCAGTTAGCCAATTCACGAATTCCCATCAATAAATTTTACTGGTTTTATTATTATTTATGAACCATGCGTGGTTTCCATTGCTTTCATAACTAGTTATCATACATAAAGACTAATATGAAGTCATTCATATTCGTCCTGTTAAAACTTTGCTCTCAATCAAGAATACTTTCTAAAAGGTATGAAGACCAGGATGGTGTAGACTTTTGTATGGTCGCGGTCTCCTTTCGTTGTATAAAAGTTGTTTGACCTTGGTTTCGCAACTTGGTCATATCAGCAGGAAGACTTAGTGGAACGCACCTTGCTGCAAAAACAAGGTTAAACAAATTCAATATTTTCTAGATTTCGCGTTACTACTGGGCCAAATTAACCATATAAATGTAAGGCTGATCTATTGGGCATAGTTCGTGATTTAGTTGATATAACTAAACAAAAACCTTAAAACATTTTGCTCAATAATAAGAATTGAGATTAGGAACACAAACATTTTGTCTGAAGCTCTTAGTCTTTAGACCCGAAATAATGGTAGATAAGCTTTATTATAAAGTGTTTCTGCAGGTGAGAAAGAAACAGAATAAGAAACTGAGAAATGTGTATATGAATCAGATCAAAAAAACATATAGCATGTAAAGAAGTTAAAGAAAGGATAGATTGTAACAGAATATGTAAAAAGTGTACAAAAT